GGGCCCCAGGAGGCCCCAAGAGGGCCCCAAAAAGTCACCAAGAAGTTCCCAGGATGCCTCCAAGAGGCCCCTAAACTGCCCCGCAGAGGCCCCCAAGAGCTCCCTGGAAAGACCCCACGAAGCGTCCATGAGGACTCTGACCCAAAAGCCAGGCACGGAGGAATCCGAGACGAAACACGTCCAGGGGATTAGCCGAGATGAAAGAGAAGCCGCCGGGATTGGAAAGATCACATCGTCGGAGATCTGGGCTTCGCTCATGCCGAATGGACAGGGAATCCGTAGCCTCCCAGTCGGAGGCACTGGCCTCGAGACCCGACGCCTGGCTTGAGGTGCTGGAGCCTCCTGGACGCACGGGGCGCACCTCCGCGGACGCCAACTACACGCCCGCATCGATCCTGACCACGCCCAACCTCGCCCCAGGACTCGCGCATGTGCTTCCCGCACCGAGCCAGGAGGGCGCATGCACCGATCCCGGGTCCAGGATGGGCCCCGTCTGGACTGGTGCTCGCGTGTGGCCAGCGTCCCCCAAAGACCACAGGCTCGCGCTGCTCCCGTCCGCCTCCAAGATTTACAGTCCTCGTGCTGCCAGAAGGCACGCCGAAGCAGGAGCGAAGGGACCTTTCCGGCCACGGTGAGCCTCGGCCACGAAGGAGAAGCTCCCCGACCTAGATCTAGGGAACGGTCCGAAAACCGAGGCCCCTCCGCCTTCAGACGGCTCTCGACAGTCCGGACGTGGTGCCGCGAAGCACTGTGGATCGTCGAAAAATCGTCCCCGAACTATATGTTTTTACTATTCTTGAGTGTTCCTCCTGTAGAGGGACAGGCCCGGCTTATCAATCTCGGCCCCTGCGTTTCAGACGCCCCAGCTGCTCATGCGCAGCACAGGCACACGAACATAGAAGAAGAAAAAACGCCATCGGAGGTGAGGGGGTGAGATCGAAGTGGAACGGCGAGCCCCCCTACCCGGAAATCGGTTTCGGTTTCGTGTTCGTGCGTGACGTGCGTGCGGGCGAGGCGAAGTTGTGTGGGCGGGCGAGAAGAAAGTCTCCTCCGGCTGAGGCGCGGCCGGACCAAATGATTCCTCACCGGGGGCCAGTGTGGCGCGGTGTCCCGCCGGTGCCCCGTCGGTGTCCCGTCGGCGTCCCGATGATGATGATGATGATGATGATGATGATGATGATGATGATGATGATGATGATGATGATGATGATGATGATGATGGTGATAATGATGATTATGATGATGATGATGATGATGATGTCGATGATGTTCATGATGATGATGATGGTAATGGTGGTGATGCTGATGGTGTCCCGATGATGATGATGATGATGATGATGATGATGATGAGGATGAGGATGATGTGGACGATTATGATGATGATGATGATGATGATGATCATGATGATGGTGATGGTTGTGATGATGATGTTGATGCTGCTGATGTTGATGATGCTGATGATGATGGTGTCCCGATGATGATGATGATGATGGTGATGTTGATGATGCTGATGTTGCTGATGATGATGGTGTCCCGATGATGATGATGATACTGATGATCTTGATGATGATGCGATGATGATGAGATGATGATGATGATGTTGATGATGATGTTGGTGTCCCGATGATGATGGCGATGATGAGGTTCATGATGATGCTGATGATGATGATGGTGATAAAGATGATCGTGCCCGATCATGATGATGACGATGTTGATGATGATGATGACGATGATGGTGTCCTGATGATGATGCTGATGGTGATGATGATGTTGATGATGATGATGATGAGATGATGATGTTGATGATTGTGATGATGGTGGCCCGATGATGGTGATGATGATGATGATGCTGATGTTGATGATGATGGTGTCCCGATGATGATGATGATGATGATGACGGTGATGATGATGATGGTGACGTTGATGATGGTGTCCCGATGATGAGGATGTTGATGATGATATCGCTGATGATGATGATGATGGTGATGATGATGATGGTGTCCCGATGCTGATGATGATATTGATGATGTTGCTCATGATGATGATGGTGATGATGATGGTGGTGTTCCGATGATGATGATGGTGTCCACATGCTGATGATGATGAGGATGTTGCTGATGATGATAGTAACGATGCTGGTGACCCGATGCTGATGATGATGATGGTGATGATGATGATGTTGATGATGATGGTGATGGTGAGGAGGTGATGATGATGATGGTGTCCCGATGATGATGATGATGATGATGATGATGATGATGATGTTGATGACGTTGATGACGATGACGTTGATGATGCTGATGACGTCGATTGTGAGATCGATTGTGAGATCGATAGTGGGATCGTTAGTGAGACCAAATGTGAAATCGATTGTGAGATCGACAGTGAGATCGATAGCGAGATCGATTGTGAGATCGATAGTCAGATCGATTGTGAGATCGATCGAATGAAATAGATCGAGTGAGCTCAATTGTGAGATCGATCGAGTGAGATCGATCGAGCGAGACCGATAGTGAGATCGATAGTGAGATCGATAGTGAGACCGATCGAGTGAGACGTTGGTTCCTCCCCCCCCGAACCTCCTTATTACCCGAAGGGTGGTCGTATAGATAAGCATAACCTTTCGGCGCCCCGCCTGGATTTCTTGGATCTGCGCTGGACCCCCCTCCCTGCAGCGCGGAGCGCACCAGGAGCGGCGCAGGAGGCGCCGCCGGGGGGGCCTGGCGCAGATCCAAGAAATCTGCGCGGAGCGCCCCGAAATTTTCTGTTTATGTCGTGTTCTTCTTCTTCTTCGAGAACAGCTGTTACGCAATACGTCGGCTGGCGTGCCGACGTCTGTCTTGGTGGGAGCTAGGAAGCTATTCGCGTGCCGCGCACGTGGACTTGGGCGCGAGCGTCAGGTCGGGTACGTCCCCCTACGGGCGGACTCTGGGCGAAAAGTGGAAATGGTCCGAAAAGAATTCAAAAGATCCAGAAATACTCCACAAATCGCCCCCTGATTATGATTTGGCTATTTTTGAATATTCCTTTGGATGCTCGTTCTGGGGACCTTCCTGGAGCCACTCGCTCCACTCGTGCGTCGAAGCTGCGTCGAACGTCAGTCGAGTTGGGTCGACCCTGAGTCGAACATGAGTCGGACCTGAGTCGAACCTGAGTCGAACTTGAGTCGAACTTGAGTCGAACTTGAGTCGAACTGGGGTCGAACAGATCCGTTAGGTGGGCTCCAGGAAGGTCCCCGAAACGAGCATCGAAATTCCTCCTGTAGAGGGACACGCCCGACTCAACGCGAGCGCTGGCTGCGCGGCCTCGAGAGGTCGGCGCCTCCGCGGCAGCGCCACGGAGCAGGCCGGGCCACGACGAGGGCGGCACTCGCCGGCGCTCGGGCAAAAACTGCACACCAGCGCCCCTCCTCGTCGTCTGCGCCCTCGCCCCAAGACCCCCTCGAGCCGTGAAGACATCGCGCCGGGAGGCTTCTCACTATGTTCGGCTTCTGCAGGCCCTCACCGGGCCCCGGGACCTTCTGTTGCATCCTCGGGGGGCCTTGTCTGTCCCGTCGCGGCCCTGTCCGCGTCGAATCCATGTCGAATCCATGTCGGACGCGTCGGATCCGTGTCGAATCCGTGTCGAATCCATGTCGGATCCGCGTAGAATCCACGCCAAATCCGCGTCGAGTCCGCATCGAGCACGCGTCGGGCGCCCCAAAAGACACAAATTTTTGGGACAGGCGGTCCCCCGAAGATGCAACAGAAGGGACCGCCAAAAAAAACTCAGGATGAGAAACCGGTCCCGGGGAATGGGTTGAGACCTCTGGGGGTCGGAGTCATGAAAAATCGTGGCGTCGGGGGTCTGGGTCCGTCTCTCCTCCCCACCTCACCCCCCCCACCCCCCCCACGAGGAGCCCTGGCCGCTCTCCTCGATCGCAAAGGGCTCAGCCCGAGGTCGCGAGCATCGAGCTCAGCCGCCTCCCTGCACCTCCTTCTGCGAGGGCCTCGATGCTGGTTGTCGTGCTCAGAGCGGTGGCGGAGGGCACGCCTATCATCCGCGAAGGGATGGCGAGGCATGGAAGTCCCAGCCCCAGCGGCTAATTATCCTGCTCCCGCTCCTCTCGCCATGCGCGACCACCGTCGTCCCGCCCGCCCCGCCCCCCAGCCCGCGCTTTTCAGGCGGCGCCCCAGCTGCTCGTGCGCGCAGCACGGGCACGCCAGCAGCTGGTGCGGTGCACGTCGGCCGACGGGGCCACTTCTGCCCTGGCCGGAGCTGAGGAGGCAGTGCGCGCGCCGCGCCCTCGACCTCGGCGATAAACGCAGGCGGAGCAGCCTCGGCGGTCGGCGCACCCGCAGCCAGAGCCGCAGAGCAGGCCAGCCCACGAGAAGGGCGCTCACCAGCGCTCGAGGAAACCGCACGCCATCGTTTCAGATTGTCTCGTCCTTCTCCTCCTCGTCCTCCTCCTCCTCCATGATCGGGGAGACGCAAGACTCGTGTACGAGGGCTTCGGGTTGGTCCGACGGGGCTATCATAAAAATGACGAGACCAAAGCTGAAATTTGACGCGAGCTCCCGCTGCAAGCATCCCACGAAAACTTGACCGTCGACATCCAGGACGCACTCGTCAAAAAACGTCGGCGAACCCGAGTTCCGGCTTACTCGAGTCTTACGTTTACCCGGCTTTAGTCTACGATGTACACTCGCGGCATCGGTGGCAGCGACGAGGACACGCTGGCCAAGCAGGGATGCAGCCGAGGTTGCCGAAAGAAGTGAAAACAGCGCCGACAGAACGTGCGCTAAGAAGAAGCCAGGACCAGGAAAAAATCGGGCCTGGAGAAGTCGGGGGTCTCTGAGATCTGGCGGATCTGCAGGTTGTATCGGGCGCCGCGGCCATCCCAGAGCGCTCTGGAAAGCTCTGGGAGTATGCAGGAACACACTGGAAAGGTATGTCCCAGTCCTACGTAGGCCCGCCCGGTTCGTGTTCGAGGCCCCTGCTATCATCGGCCTCGGCCTGCCTCAGTCTGCGAGAGCTCTGGGCTGCAGCGGGCGCGACCACCTGAGTCTCTCGAGTTGCGCGTGCGCGTCGGCAGTCTTGGGCAGGAAGACCGGGCGGGCCCTCCGGCAGCCCCGGTGAGCGACGCTGGCGGACGAGTGGTGTTGAGCCGCGTTGAGCGCGAAGCCCTGGATCTTCGCCGGGAGCACCTCGAGGCAGCCAGCCTCCAGCGCATGTCCGCCCACCTCGCAAGCGCCGTGGAACGCCTCGGAGAATGCGCCAGCGATCTGTGGGGTCAAGAAGTTGACGAAGGCCATGCCGCGGTCAGAGCTGAACCGGCTCCGCAGGTCCGAGCGGAGGTGCACGAAGTCGTACATGAAGGCGAAGCCCGCCTTGTCAAGCTCGAGCATGAGACTCTCCTGGGTGACGGCCTCTGGCACGTGCCGCAGCATGACCGTGGTGAAGCCGCCGGCTGCGCTGGCCGCGGGGGCCTGCATCGTAGCTGCGCCCAGCGGGCATGGCGCCGGCAGGCCTGGCGGGCATCGGGGACGCACGGACCAGGGAAACCGGGGCCAATCGGGCATGGCAGACTCCTGCAGGATCCTGCGCGCCAGCCCAGGGCAAAGCACCCCGGGCTCTGCAGAGTCCTGCAGGATCCCTCGGGGGCGCGCAAGCAGAGATTGGCGATCCATGGACGGGGCGCGCGGTCGCCAAATCATGGATCGGGGGAGGTGCCCTCCGCGGAATGCGGCCAGTGCCGCCTCCCTCGGCGGCGGAAAGCCACGATTTCCCATGGAAACAGGACCCGTCTCCAGTCCACGCCCCCTTGATCCCTGTTTGCGATCGCCTGGCCCAGACCCCCGACGTCATGAGCTTGCCATGACGTCAACCCCCAGAGATCTCGACCCATTCCCTGGGACCGGTCTCTCACCCTGAGTCGTTTCTTGACGGTCCCGAGGCCCGGTGAGGGCCTCCAGAGGCGGAAAATAGCGAGAAACCGTCCGTAATATCTTTTTGTGACTCGAGCCTGCGATCGCCTGCGTCATGATTTGTGTTCATGCATCCCGCGCCCTGGCTGACCCCGGCCTGCACTGACCCCCGCCCCCTGGCCATCGCTCGGACGTCCATTCCCTGTGTTTTTTTCGCGGTTTCGTGCGTGGTGTTTTCGCCAAATGATCAAAGATGCTCCTCGATGGTCCTCGCCGACTGAAAAATGCACACGTCCGAGCGATGCCAAGCCCCCCTTGCCCCGAGGGCGGCCAGAGGTCTCGACCCATTCCCTGGGACCGGCTTCTCACCCTGCGTCGTTTTCTGACGGTCCCGAGGCCCGGTGAGGGCCTCCAGAGGCCGAAAATAGCGAGAAACCGTCCGTCATAGTTTGTATGACTCGAGCGCCCTGGCTGACCCCGGCCTGCACTGACCCCCGCCCCCTGGCCATCGCTCGGACGTCCACTCCCTGTGTTGTTTTTTTTGCGGTGTCGTGCGTGGTTTCTTCGCCAGATGATCAAAGATGCTCCTCGATGGTCCTCGCCGACTGAAAAATGCACACGTCCGAGCGATGCCAAGCCTCCTCCTCCTCGTCCTCCGCCTCCGCCTCCTGCTCCTCCTGCTCCTGCTCCTCCTCCTCCTCCTCCTCCTCCTCCTCCTCCTCCTCCTCCTCCTCCTCCTCCTCTTCCTCATTTCCACCTCCCCCACTTCCCCCTCCTCCTCCCCTCCTCCTCCCCTCCCCCACTTCCCCCTCCTCCTCCTCCTCCTCTTCCTCCTCCGCCCCCCTTGCCCCGAGGGCGGCCCGGGGTGCGGCCGCGGGCGCCGGCGCCGCGGCCGCCGCCCCCCGCGGCGCTCCGCCCTCCTGCCGGGGCGGCGGGCGGCGCAGAGAGCTCCTCGAGCTCCGCCAGCTTGAGCACTGGCCGCCGCGGGAAGGCCTGCGTGCAGGGGCCCAGAGACACAAAATACACACACACACACACGCACGCACGCACGCACACACACACACACACACACACACACACACACACACACACACGCACACACCCACACGCACAAAAAAACGCACACCACTGCCACGCGCACGCGCACGCGCACGCACAAATCACACCACACACACTCACACACACACTCACACGCACAACACGCACACCACACGTACTCGCACACGCCCACGCCACACGCCACACGCACGCGCACGCCCACGCGCTCGCGCACGCCACGCGCACGCGCACGCGCACGCCAGCGCACGCACGAACTCACACACATCACACACACACACCACACATACCCACACACACACACACACAAACACTACACACACACGCTCACACCAAACACAACAAAAACCACAGCTCTAGAAGACAGCACACGCACACGCGCACGCGCACGCGCACGCGCACGCGCACGCGCACGCCCACGCGCACGCGCACGCCCACGCGCACGCGCACGCGCACGCGCAAGCCCACGCGCACGCGCACGCGCACGCGCACGCGCACGCGCACGCGCACGCGCACGCGCACGCGCACACGCAGGCGCACGCGCACGCGCACGCGCACGCGCACGCGCACGCGCACACGCAGGCGCACGCGCACGCGCACGCGCACGCGCACGCGCACGCGCACGCGCACGCGCACGCGCACGCGCACGCGCACGCGCACGCGCACTCGCACACGCACACGCACACGCACACGCACACGCACACGCACACGCACACGCACACGCACTCGCACACGCACACGCACACGCACACGCACTCGCACACGCACACGCACACGCACACGCACACGCACACGCACACGCACACGCACACGCACACGCACACGCACACGCACACGCACACGCACACGCACACGCACACGCACACGCACACGCACACGCACACGCACACGCACACGCACGCGCACACGCACCACGCACCACGCACACGCACACGCATACGCAGACGCACACGCACCACGCACACGCACACGCACCACGCACCACGCACCACGCACACGCACCACGCACCACGCACACGCACACGCACACGCACATGCACACGCACACGCACGCGCACGCGCACACGCAC